CAGCAAATCTGCATTTATTAGCCCCACAAGTGGAAAATCTGCATTGTCATTGCAGAAAAGTGGACAGTGCAAGACAAAAGCAGCAAAATAAAAACTGTACAAAGAGCACATTATAGAAAGTGCACTATACAAACAACCTGGAGACATAAATATGGACACATGTATTGAAAAATATTGGTGCATATATCTATATATAGGGATTGACAAGAAGTAATATTGCATATGAGAATTATTGCACATAGAAACTACCAAGGTGTATCGTAGGCTACTATACATCTATAGTAACATTAAACGACCAGTGGGTGGCAGGGTATAGACACATCAGTGCCCAGTGTAGTGGTTTATGTGCAAGTATACCATCAACACTGACACAAATACAAGCACACAGCCTTTGAATAGCTGTCCACTGTAGTGACCAGTATGTGTGCAAAGGGCTAAACGTGGCTTCTGAATTTCCTGCGCAATTCTTCATCACTACAGAGTTCTGCACACAGTGTTGGGGAGTAACGTAATACATGTATTGTATTTAAAATACAAAATATGAGTAACTGTATTCCGTTACAGTTACCATTTAAAAAGGTGGTATTCAGAATTCAGTTACTTTGCTGAAATAAAGGGAGTGCACGGCTGTGTTTTCCTGTTTCATATGTTCGGCTGTCCCCTCTCTATTTTTGGTAATTCCACGTCGGTGGAAACCCAAACAAAACTCGCATTAAGAGGCTCTAATGCCTGTGTCTCAATCTCGTGGCCCATGTCACCTACAGCCCACATAATGACTTGAAGAAATATTTATTAAATTGATCATTAAAAAAAATTATTTAATATTTAAAATTAATATTTAAAATTATTTAATAGGCAATAGGCAAAGTGTTACAGGCATCGCCCTAACGAATGTAGCCTCAAGGGCAGTGTAGCCCAGTTGTAAGTAAGCTGCTAACACTCAACTGTACACTGTGTTCATGTTTTTCTCCAAAACAATAAGTTCAGTTGGAGCAGCTTTTCTCTGGCTCCCGCTAGCAAAGTTGATCCCGACAACAAAGAAAAGCTAGTTTTCGGCTACGAGCCCGACACGGAACCCAACGTATTAGCCAGAGGTCCCTTTACTACGGTTCGGAGCCACAAACCTGTTTTATATTCGCGCAGAATAGTTTTCTATATGAGATCGCTGCAAAAAGTGCAGCTTTACCTAATGTGCACCTACTGTTACTCATTTATATTAAGAATTGAAAATCTAGTTGGTATTGGTATGGAGAGTAACCTTCAGTAATAGTAATAAATCACACAGCAATAGTTCATTCATGTAGTTGTAAAAAGCATGATAATATATTAAGTAATCCAAAGTATTCAGAATACGTTACTCTCATTGAGTAACGTAACAGAATATGTTACAAAATACATTTTGGGGCATGTATTCTGTAATCTGTAGTGGAATACATTTTAAAAGTAACCTTCCCAACACTGTCTGCACATAACCTGAGATCGTATTATAACTATATAATGTTTATACATTAATATTATGTTATATGAAGAATTGCTGATGATGCATTAAATAAAGACTGATGACAAAGGTGCTCATGACAGCTTTTGATGCATCACAGATGTAACACTTTTTTAATGAGTAGATTAAAAATCAAAACATATAACCACAATAAATCTACTCTGTTGTTAGCTACCCACAACAAATAAACATCATTTTGTTTTTCTAATTTTCCATATTCATTGAAACAACGTTTCTCAAGTTGTTTGTCTTCAGGCTTGTTGGTTTGGATATGCCATGGCCTTCACTTTTCTGTGTGAAAAGACTTTCCCACCATTGCGCTGCCATTATAAGGTCAATTTTTTGCCCAGCTTGGTTTCAGAGAAACAATAAAGATACTGCCTGTTGCACCATACAGGTCAAAAACATCCTGGGAATCTTTGAATCAGACAGAAAGAAAAAAAATGCCAGAACTGGTCTAGAGGAAAAAAGTAGAGGTATTAACAGCTTGTTGTCTGAATAATGATTACATTATATCCTGTTGTCTCCCTCCAGACCACAGTCTGCACAGAAGTCAGGCTCCGGGACGCTATATACCAACCAGCTGCTTATGATGATGATGTTGCTGTTTCAGTGGAAGCTCATCCTTATCTGTTAACACAAGCACAGATTACATGTCAGACTTGCAGAATTACAGCCATAGCTCAGTATTTTAGGTAAAAAGCAAATTCTGCTATGAATAGCATCATAGGTTCGATAGTATTTGGTCAGCTACAAAAAAATACAAAAATTTTTAATTTGAATGAGCATAGTGCAGAGAATGGACACTGTGGTGGTGTTTGCAGGGTTTGTGAATTTGGATTGCTTTGTGCAGTGTTGGGCAAGTTACTTTTAAAAAGTAATCAGTTATATTTACTAGTTACTTCTTCAAAAAAGTAAATAAGTTAGTAACTGAGTTACAATATTATAAAAGTAACTAATTACTAGGAAAAGTAACTATTGTGGTACTTTAAAAAATGTTTAACCCTCTGGGGTCCAGGCTATAATTGGCTGTTTTTGACTACTTTTGATTTTACCTCCACATTTCACCTTTAAAAAGTATTTATCTTGCCTTGTTTGGTATCAATCTTTTCAGCACAATCTCACACGTCTGGATTTACAGTTATGTTTTCATTTTGACATGCTGTATTAACATAATTAATGCACAATCTAAAATCAGACAAAAACATAAAATCAGAGTTGAAAAAGGTTATATTTTCTACTGTAACAAACACAAAAAGTAACAAATCATTTTTGTAGCTTGAAATGCATATATGAATTGTACATTGTAAAGCTGTAGCTCCTAAAACTTCCCCCTCTTCCTAAACAACCAAATGCCATGTTGCCATATCATATTTTGATTGGTCGAAGTGGTACATTTTTCCACCAATAGGAAAGAGTGTTTTTGCAAGACCCTGAAATACTTAAACTCCTCCAGCTGGGGCAGTAAGTCGTCCCTGTCCCGGAGTTGGCACTCCACCCTTTTCCGGCTGAGGACCATGGCCTCAGACTTGGAGGTGCTGATTCTCATTTCTGCCGCTTCACACTGAGCTGCAAACTGCTTCAGTGTGAGCTGGAGGCCATCAACCAGCGCACCCTCACTATACGTTTAAGCATCCTAGGTCTGTCCAGCAACTCCTCCACCATCTGATCCGACTTACCAATACATGGTGATCAGGTGACAGCTTACCACCCCTCTTTACCTGAGTGTTCAAAACATATGGCTGCAGTCTGATGATGCAAATAAATCATGGATTTATAGATCATCAATCTGTGGCCTAGGTGTCCTGGTGCCACGTCCACTTATGGAGACCCTCATGTTCAAACATGGTGTTTGTTATGGACAAACTGTGGTTTGCACACACTGCCACCCAGTACACACTTCTCTACTGCGCCTCCTGCAGGAGGGTCCCCATGGACTAAGGCCACCAGGCACTCGCCTTCAGGCACTCTCTCTGCGCCTGGCTCCAGGGCAGGGCCCCGGTAACCCTATTCTGGGGAGGGTGAACTGCTCCCTTTCTCCTAGACTGACAGGGGCTTTTGAATTACTCTTTGTCTGGTTCCTCACACAGGACCAATTTGCCATGGAAGACCATACCAGCGGGCAAAAGCAAAAGACAATGTAGCCCTTGGGATCCCTGAGAAACACAAACGCCTCATCCTAGATAAGGTAGCGATTCCCCCTCGGTGGCAGAAGAAGAACAATAAATATGTTTTAAAGCCTTTTATGCCATCTCACTATATGCACTGTAATAATGGAGATTACAATAACACAATAAATTGACAAACATGTCTGTATTTTCATGCAAAGTGCCACAGGCTGGAGTAACAATAATAATAATAATAATCTTACCCTTTATGACTTTTGCTTTTTTATGAGTACAGCAAACAATGGCAGTGAGGATCACCAACAGAAGAATACCTGATGGTGAAAGACAAAAACAACAGTGAACTATGCATGTAAAAAACAGTGAATTTGTGTTTTATTTCTGCATAACTGTAACATAACATACCTGCTCCAGTGCGCACTGGAATACAGACGTCAGTGTCACATACATCAGGGAAAACTTCAAAATAATACAAGAAGAAAAATGTATTTGTAGATGTTTATGATAAAATGGTCATTTCAGCCATCAACAGACAGTTGATAGCACATAATATTCACAAGGCTTTAAGCATTTGTGATAAACTGGCTGATTACAGAAACACTGCAAGCAAAGAGCATGTTTACCTCAGCTTTTTGATATCTTTCCATATACAGTATGAACCTGCTTAGGAGTTCAGGTTAATGCTGAGATGGACCGAGCAGTGAAGGAACTCCGACAGAGGTTAAAGTCAAAAAAGGGTTTTTTATTAACCCCATGATCCAGAATTGTGGTGTGACCAAATTTGCAGGTCTCCATATAGGCTTGCTCCACCCAATTTCCCGTGTTTGATGTTAGCTCATCAACCAAGGTAATGGGAGCAGCAGCCACTCAGAAAACAGAGATTAAATCATACATACATAACAATGTAAACTAAAATGTGCGCACTTATTTTAGAATACAGTATTATGTGATTGTATAAGTAAATACATTTAAACCAAAACCAATTCTTTATTACCCTGTAAATTAAATCCTATATTTAATAAAAGAAAAATGTGAGTGTAGTGTTCTGTGTAAGCCTCTGTAACACTCATGTTTGACAGATATTACCACAGTGTGGCTGTAACTGCAGCCATCACAAATGCTTATCCTCCAGAAATTCGAATAAAAACATGTTTTGATATTTAGATTCTTTCTTCCAAGTTGAATTTAAAATGGCGAAACAGTTTTAAAATTGTTATGTTTTTTTAAAAATCGTATCTATTTTTTTCTTGGTGGTGCACCCTGGATATTCACATAATGATATTGTTTTTGTGTTGGTTTCTGATTTAAAAAAAAAACAATAATAAAATGACACAATTTATTCTTGCCTATCGAGGATAAAAATGACTTGCTTAGAACTTAGGAAGTTATTGCTACGGTGGCCCTGATCAAACAAACTACACCATTACTGAGCTTGCGGATCAGTTTATTGAGTGATTTTGCATCTGCAAACCTCAACCTGCTGCCCCATCACTCAATCCTCTGTGCTGTTACGTGCTGGGGCAGCAGGTTGAGGGTTGCAGATGCAAAATGACTCAATAAACTGATCCACAAGCCCAGTAATTTTGTAGGGATGGAGTTGGACTCCCTTCAGGTGGTGTCAGAGAGGCGGCTGTTGTCCAAGATAAGAACAATGCTGGATGCACTCCATCGAGCGCACAGTACACAGTGCAATAGTTCCACCCTTTGGCACACAGCACAAAAAAACAAGTTTTACAGTTTAGAGTAAAATGCCATATAAATTTCATCTCTGTAATATTCTGGATATTTGTATATATTAGAGCTATTTCTTATATTTTGTAATATATTGTAATAATTATTTTAGTTCAGTCTATCACTGTTCTCATTGTCTTGCAGCAACTGTTACAACATAATTACCTCAGGATTAATAAAGTATTTTGACCCTGATTAAATGGAAAACGCTGCAAAAATATGAATCGATAAAAGTTCAATATAACACAATGGAAACAGAAAAAATATAATAGAAAAAAAAAACTGGAAGTCTTTCTAGAGAGACAATAAGATGACAGAACAGCTACAGAAGTAACAGAAACTAAAACATGAAGGACTGCGCTGAGACATGCTCGAAAGACGTGGAGAATTCGCCTGTGCTGTGATTCTATATTTATATTATACATTACTGTCGATAGATCTTTGCTATTGGCTGTTTACTGTTAGCTTGTCACAGTTTTTCTGTTTGCTTTGTTTGTTTGTTTTTTTACTTTTTCGTCCCAGTTACTTTGAGAGAGCATTTTGTGAGAATAATGTACAATAAGATACAACTTTTAAACTGAAAAAATCATTGACAATCAGCAGATATTTTTATAATTCCAAATAGTGTTTCAGGGCAAAAGCTTTAAAATAAAAGAAGAAGAAAAGTATCTTGTTAGCATATGAGTTAAATAAAATGACGACTTCAGTTGATGAACATTTGGAAAAAGGCACATTTGAAGATTTGTGCACTTGATAGCACATAATACTTACCAGGCTTATAGCAGTTTTGTTGAACAGGCAGACTGATCTCAGAGCTGATGATGTTAGAAACATTGCAAGAGAAATGGCCTTTTGCCACGTCTTTGGCTACTCTCATCACCGTCTTCCCTTTTTCTGCCAACCGTTTAGCATTCATTAACCATTCGATCGTGTCATTCTGTGGGAGAAAACTCAATGTGTGGATTAATTGAAGGTTTTGAGTGTAAGTCTAACATAAAAAGCCAAACTTGGCTAAACTTAGTAATTAGTAAGTAGTAATATTTATCTTTTCCTACACTCTGGTTAATTCCACAGCCTATATAATTAAGTAATAGACGCATAGAGACTCAAACTGTGCTGAAACAACATTTGTGAGTGGACGCTTATTGACAGCACAGGTAAAAACTTGAATTAGTTTCAGTAGATGAGAAATGAGGCCTTTGTCTACATAATCTTCAGCAGTTTAATTATGAGTAAGCTACTTAATGCTCAAAATGAAATTTAAATAATGTAAATATAAATAAAACATTAAATGTGTAATATATATATTAGAGATGGACCGATCCGATATTACGTATCGGTATCGGTCCGATACTGACCTAAATGACTGGATCGGATATCGGAGAAAAATAAAAAATGTAATCCGATCCATTAAATATCACGAAAGCACCTCACAAAACTTGCAACACGCC